TTACATTTTTAAAAATACAAATATATAATATTAAAAAAATAAAAATAAATAATAAAAAAATTAATATTTTAAAGTATAATCATATATTTTAAAATTTAAATTCAGTTTAAACATAAATCGTTTTATATTAAGAGTAAAATGAAAAAGAACCTAAAAGGATTGTGTGCCAGCCAAAGTTCATCTTTTCAAAACTTATTAAAACTAAGCTTTAAAGCCTGATTTTGTTAAAAAAAACACAGAATTTTTTTAAACCCAAACCTTATAAAAATTAAAATTTAAATAAGGTTAGGCTCGCCTTTATTCCCTATTCTATGTGTGTGTGGAGGCATTTAGGCCTAACAGCAAGGTTCATATTATTCTGCTACGTATTTAGCGTCTAGTCAAAACAATATCCTACCCACCTTATATCACCAGGAACAAGAGCCACCAAAATATTCATTTTCATAATTATTTATTCAACAATCAACACCTACACACACGCACACGTAACTTTAATCTCTTCCCAAATTTCACTGTAATTATTAGCTCTTACGTCTTGGTTTAGTTATTCATATTAATTATTAGGATTAAATATGTTACGTACCTGATCCTGGAAGGAATTGTAGGCTTGAGATGATCTTCTCCTCGGACTTCTTCTCCCCTTCATTCTGCTTCTTCCACCCATCAATCCTGCCAACTTTACACCGTCAACTTTCGGCTAACAACTAGCATTTAACCAAAACAGCCTAAACGAAAGAGGCATACATTTAAGACGAAAAAAACGCGCACGTTCAGATCTCAATTAAATTTCTTGCCCAAGAAAAGTAATCAGAATTTGACTCTGAATAATGAATAGTAAAGTTTACATGTGTACAGAAAAGTGACGACTCCTTTGTCCATTATATACATGCGCGCGCGCGCGGGCGGCAAGAAAAGTTTCTCTGTGACGTCCCGTTCGATCTTTTTGGATCTCCCCATCTATCTTTTTTTTTTTTTTGTTAATCACACTTTTTCATTTCTTCTATATTTTTTAGCTAACTAACTTTTTCGGCCAACATAGTAAATACAAATACAGTAACTGTATCTTTTGTATTTTTATTTTATATACTCATCACACGCGCGCGCGCGCTATATATATCCGTATATATAATTATATATATATATATATAGTATTTAGTTTTTAAAATATTTTAAATGTATTATATATATAATTACAAGCGTTTCCATTGCACTAAACAAATTTTCGAAAAAAGAAAAGAAAAGTGATAGTATTACTACATCCCTCATTTAATAACTTAAAGATATAATATAATAATAATAATAATATAAGTCTAGAGAAAATAGAAAAATATTTTTAATAAGTAATGTAAAATAAAATTTTTCCCAGCGAAAATAATAAAATAGAGCGAATGATTTTTTTTTTTTTTACAAATATTGATCCGCTGGTTGTTTTCAAAAAATATAAAAAAATTCAAATTAATAACCCCTTTTACACTAGAGAAATGAAGATGGTAAGTCCTGTTTGGTTTCATGGTCTGAGAGTTGTGTTTACTGTAGGGTTAGAAACCGTCCGACACTTCGCACGCCACCAACCAAGCAGCACCGATGCAACAAAAACAACCGGTTTCACCCGATCCCGGAAGCTCACAAATTTCTTGGAATGTGGAGCCAAACGCGGCGTTCAACTCTCCGTCCAAAGGGACCGAGAGACAGAAGGATAATGAGAGAGGAGCGCTAAGATTACCTGAATCAGCAGCGTTGACGGAGATGGTGCGGCGGGGATTCAGATCCGAAGTGGACTCCGAGGCGTCAAGCAAGCGAGGGCGGAGGCGGTGGAATGAGCGAGAGCTGTGTTCCAGCATTGCGGTGACGAAGGAAGCTTCTATGGAGTTCAGGAACTGCACGTGCTTCTCGTCCGTCCAAAACGACGCAGTTTCAGCAGCCGTGGCGGGATAGTTCTCGTCCTGCGACTCCATCGACGAGGATGAAAACGGAGAGATTACGGCTCAAAAGCAAGCGACGGAAGGCGGAAGCGTGAGGATAGAAGAATGCGAAAGAGGTAAGAGTCGCCAAATGGAAGAGAATTAATTAAATGACGATTTTAACCCGCGATCCGTTGGCGTAGATATTTTGAAGCATCTGATTGATTGATGGATATGGCATCCAGGGAAAATAATAGTTTGACTCTAGGGTTTGGATCGATGATACATGATTTAAGGGAAATGGGTTTGGAAAATGGGGGAGGAAGGACTTAGGAGGCACTAATGAAAAGTCAAGTCACGATCAAAGGAGTGGAAATATCTGGGGCGTCTGGGGAAAGGCGAGTGAGGGAGGAGTATTGAATTACATCTGGCTGGGTGGAGAACAGGGACCGCTGGGTGTTAGATATTTTATGGTGAGAATCATCATTCTTTATTCCTTTTTTCTTTTTCTGAGTTTTGTGAAGATATCAACCCAACCCCTCCATCGACCATCACCAATCACATCTCTACAGTCCCCTGCCCAAAGCTTACCCCCGCCTACCGTCAATTATTACTCCCTCTACCCCTACCTCTTGACCTTTACGCCGCCTCTCGGGTGTCATTACTTATTATCGATTACCTATTGCCCTCTCCGTTTTAAATTATGTACACGTATATAAGTAAAATACAATTATAATACTTTATAATTTTTTTGATTATAAATTTTCAAAAATTTTATGCACGTTCAAAATTATTTAATTTTTTTATTTGAAGAGTTATATTAAAAATGTATAGTCAATAAAATCTTATTCTTCTCACATTGTTTTATATTTAAAACAATAAAATTTTTATAGTTATCTTATAATTTAATATGGAGAAAAATATTAACTAATTTATATTTCTTTTAAAAAAATTGATTAAAATCTTGATTTTAAAATTTTTCTTACATATTTTCAATTGTGTCGTAATATTTAATTTATTTAAAACACTCTCATTAATTATTCAATAAATAAGGGTGTAATTGAAAAAAATATATATAAATCTGCCCTAATGCCTTGCTTTTGGATTAAGTAAAGTTTTTAGAAAACAATTTATATTATGATCTAAAAAGAGTTAAATAGTAAATTTTCTTTTAAAACTGCAGGTCTTGGAGCATTTAAAACTTAAATTTATTTTTAATATAATATCTCCATTTAATATTTAAAATGATATAATATTGCTCCTATTATTAACAAAAATACTTTGACTGTTAGCTAATAAGAGAATAATAGAAAAAGAACTTACAAATTACCAAAAAACGGGACAAAAAATCATAAATTTTTTTATATAATACTTATTTGCAAATTTTTTATATCATTTTCATTATTTTTTTTTATTAATGAACGATCAATGTTAATTTTAATTAACAGTAAATGTGATGTTACATTGTTTTTTGAATTTGGAAAGAAAACATTATGCAAAAAAAAATAAGTTCAAATTTATAAATGCTCCTAAATCTATAATTTAAAGATAAAATTATCCTCTAGCCCTTATTTACTCCTTCATTCAAAGATATAAAGTATTTTTTAAGGGGTTGAATGTTAAAAATGTAAGATATTTTTTATTTTTTGAAGTGTAATCATTATCTTTTTTTTAAAGTGTCCTATTGAATAAATTACTTTATATTTATTTTAGGATATTTATAAGAATAAATATAAAAAACTAAAGTTAGTTTACAAATAAATAACTATTTTATTAGGGATGAGATTCGGTTAATAATAATTTATATTTTTAATAGAGGGAGTATAAGATAGAGAAGGTTTTTCTTTTCCAATTTATAATGTATGTTATTGATTTTTTTATCATATATTTCTAAATTTATAATCAAAGTATATATATTTAATAAAGATAAAAAATTTTATTTAAGTTCTTAGGAGATGAATGATTTGTAATTAGAACTTGAGAGGGAGTATATAATTCACAAATAAAAAAAAATTATCCCTTCATCCCTTTTATAACAAACAATTGACATTATTTATTTTAAATTTAAACGTAATAAATAGCTAGCTATTATTTTGTGAATATTATTGAAAATTTTATTTTTAATCCTTATTAAACAAAATAACTATCATTATTTATTAAATACACAACCACCATAACAATTAATGAGTTTTTTAGAAAAAAATCTTAAATATATTTATTTATATCTTGACTTTTTTTCTATGTATAAAATTTGTATCTTGACTTATGTGATCTACTCTCTCCTGACTAAAATATAAAGAATGATAATTGATTCACAATTTTAAAAAAATATTAGTTAAAATTCTAATTTTTTAAAATTTTTTACATCATTGCAACTGTACCTGCATTAAATTTTTATATAAGATCTTTAATAATAATAATTAAAATTTTAATGCATCAATTTTTTTAAAAAAATAAATGAAATAGGAATATAGTTAAAAAAATAATTATAAAAGTTACTCATACTTTATACTTTAGATTAAATAATATATTTAGAAAATGCCTTATAGTATGATCTAGACAAATTGATTGTTTTTTGTTGAAGGACATGGGTAAAAAAGTAATATCAACATCAATATATTTATAATAATAATAATAATAATAATATTTGGGATTATATACAGCTTATAACATGGTATAATTGTAACAGGGTATAATGCTGAATAGATACAGCTACGCACCATTTTGGTTCTCCTTATTCCCGAGGCAAAGAAGTTTAGGTCACATTTGGTTAATGAAAAAGAAAATAATAAAAATAAATGAAATAATGAAAAATATAAAAGAATGAAATCACCGTAACTATAAATTTATTTGATAGAATATTTAAATAAATAAAAATAAAATTTATTTATATTATTCGTTTAAATATAAATTAAAATAAATAGGTCATAACTATATTATTTCTTGCATTAATGCATTTGCCTTCTTTCCTTTTTGTTCAAAAGTTTTCCAAAAGCTTTTAGTTTAAATTCATACCCACATGCATAACATTCTTTAAAAAAATAAATTATTTTAAATTTAAATTTTACTCTATAAGAGAAAAACATTAAGGAAGATATGTAAAATATCATACACAGGGAATCAAATTTAAAATTTGACTAAATTCAAAAACTTCTTTAAAAAATATTTTTTATAAGATTAAAAATATTCTAAAGAGAAAATAATAAATACAATTAAAACTAAAAATGTTATTAAATTTAATTTTTTAAGAAAAATTAACTTAAAAATATATAATTGACTACTGGCAAAAATGAAAAAAAATCAAGGGAAATAGGCTAGATATGTGAAAAGTTAACAAGAGTATTTTGATAAAAACATGTTGAATTCAAGGTGGGTAACATGATTCCTCTCATTTTTAAAAAGGCTTGCCCAATCTTAAAAATATGATAGTCCATATTTTTGGGAATGGTCATTTCTTGTCACTTATAAACAACCAACATAGATAAGATTGGAATAGAGATATGATTATCATTTTATAAGCCAAAATTTGTATAACCATAGGTGACCTTGTTGCCTTGCAGATATAACCAAAATTTTTACACCAATCCTGTGACGAGTCCCTAGTTTTAGTTGCTTCTACATATTGGACAAAGTTGGTAGGAAATATGGGTTGATTTCTCACTATTATTTTTTTTCTCTATTATTTTTTAATATAAATTTAAACTGTTCAAGTTAAATTTATACTTTTAAAAATTATTAAATCTAAATCATAAAATTTAATTTAACAGTCTAAATTATAAAAGGACAGCGAACTTTGGAAACATGACACAGTTATTTAAAAAATAATAATAATTACTAAAAAAACCCTAAAAGTTGAAAATACCCATTAAAGATTGGGCCTGGATTCCTCTTGGTGGAGAACTCGTGCCCGTAAAGATTTTTAATTAATGATGCTATGAACCAAGTTTCATTTACTGGATAAAACACAGAGTTTTCTTTTTTTTTTTAAAAAAAAAAGAAAGCTGAGGTGGAACAACTTGTAACATGTGGAAGTTTAGTAGACACCTGCTTGAGAATAAAAAAATATTTATAAACTATTTTCAATATTTATAACTAGAATCATAGAATGTGCAATTTTTTGTAGGGTAGATAATGTTTAGTTTTAAATATTTTCTTATTGAGCTTCTATCTTAAACAAGGGAGATGTTTATTTTGTTTCAATCACGTTTTTTACTTTTAAACACCATTGTGCTTTCAACTACCTTGCTCTTTGGTTGGCATATTTAATTTTTTAGGTCTTTAACTGTCATTAATATTTAAAAAGTTCTAAAATATCATTTTCACAAGTCAAAAAGTTCACTCCTTAACAACTTCATATATTACATGGGATAAGGGCTTTTCTTGGTCAAATTTCTTCTATGCGTTTTGTTGTCTATATTTAGACATGTCAATGCCATATTGCCATCACACCTGACAAGAACCCAAACCATCGTTTCTGCATAAATTTCCTCGGCACTTGTTAAGCCCATTAACAATTTTTCATAATAGTTTTTTTCACATGTACCTTCTCATACAAAACAAATAGTAATTGAAATAACGATAATCATTTGAAAATTTTATCTCAAGAAAAGTTCTCATTTAATCATTTAAATATATTTCTTATCTCATTCCATATTTTTAGTTCTACTTATGAGTAAGGAGGCAGAGAGCTTATTTTCAGTTTTCCAAAGCAGAATAAAAAATAAAAATATAAATATTCTCAATGCTACAGTGAATATTCAGTCACCATGGTAGAAACTTATAATAAATGAATAGAAAGTAGAGGAACAAAGAGAAAATGAGTAAAGATAAGGGTGAGGGAGCCCTTTAGAATCAGAATTCAATCTAGAAAGAAAGAGAATCTCCCAGAATTACTGAATAATAATTTATTCATGCTCATAATAATTCATAATAAGTATTTATAATCTACAACAACAATAACTTCCCTATCCCTAATACAAACTGACAACAACTAACTTAGGATACTTGTAATCGCCAACATAAGACCCATGGTAAATATATAAAATACAAATAACATGATAATTACTGACAATAACTAACTTAGGACACTTGTAATCGCCAACACAAGACACAGGGTAAATATATAAAATACAAATAACATGATAATTACTGACAATGACTAACTTAGGACACTTGTAATTGCCAACATAAGACACATGGTAAATATATAAAATACAAATAACATGATAATTACTGACAATAACTAACTTAGGACACTTGTAATCACCAACATAAGACACATGGTAAATATATAAAACACAAATGACGATAAGGTTCTGGTACACTAAATTGACTCTTCATCATAAATAGGACTACCTAGGCTTTCCCTAGAATAAACTAGCAAAGGAAGATGGCTCCTAAGTCCTAACACGCCAGCAACCAGAATAGAGTAAAATATACATCCACACGATAATGCATATAAACTCTTGTCAATAAAGGGGGAAAATCTTGGATACAATTTCTCAAGTGTTGGCTATACAGGAGGGAGACAATCAGGACACAAGCTATCAACTATATAAAATATTCAAGCACCCATCTATATTATTTTATAGCCATGCAAACAATGCCCATACCCACAAACAAATTCCCTAAAAACTCTGACTTACAAGTTCATGTCAGGGCCCATCACATTTAGCATATTACAAGATTGTGTAGGATCGTGCTGGTTTGGATGATCAATAATCATTGTGGATGAAGAATGAAAGCCTACACTTTGTACCTAGAATACAAGTGATTCGTACAGTTATTTCTTATCCACAAAATAAAAGAAAAGACCCAAAATAAGGGAGTGGGCTTTATTTGCTGATCACCATCCCCAGAAAAATTAGCTGGGGGCCCGGAGCAAGTCTTCTTTCTTTCCATCAATGTCCATCCCTTTCACACTTGCACTCAGTGATGATGAGTCACAATTCTCCTTTTCACCAAGTTCAATATTACCATCTTCATCGCTTTCTTCCTCAAGTGCAGAACCCTTTTGCCGAAGCTCTTTGACTTTAAAAAATTCATCATAGTGAGCTTTTCTGTGTTCTTTGAACCTCAGGCTCCTATCTGTCCACGTGAGAATAGAGCAAGTAGCATGTCAATATAAAAGTATCAAACAGACTCACAATGGCTAATTTCTCCAGACAAATAAGTCTGGTTTTCAGGTATTCTGAATTTAACAGCAGCTGATAGCAACATGCTAATGGCCATTAGATATCCATTTTCTGACAGTGAGCATTAATCCAAGAATACCAAATTTAATGATTTTCTATGGGCGATCCCCAGATTACATAGCAGATGGAATTGCTTGACTTAACTTCATGATCTTTTCAAACTTAAATCAATTCATGCTTGATTAAGGTTCTAAGATATGCATATTAAACTATTTTAAGTATTTGTATAAACAAGTATTCATCATAATAGAACCATTTTAGATGAAGATCAACCCCGATAAAGATTCAAACTTTGAATAAGGAATAATAAAGCTTCATTTTTTGACAAAATCAGATTATACACAAAGCAAAGAAAAACCTTCATCATCTTGTTCCACTGCATCTGATTCATCCTCAGATGATGTCCAGCCACTAGATCGACCAATCCTGTTTCTGCTACAAGAGGCGCCATCTTCAGCTCCCACTGCCACATTATCATTGTCAATACACGAATTAAAGCTTCCTTGAAGAGATGATGAAGAATCTACAAAGTTAAAGCATTAAGGTGATAAGCAGCTGTGCATAGGACCCAGAACACAGAGCTAAAAAAAAAAAAAAACTCAGATATGGATCTTCATCTAGCTACATAAACAAACAAATAGATCAATATGCTTTAGCATTTAGAAATCAGACCATGTAAAGGCCACACAAAAAAATGTAGTACTTGGCAGTAAGACTTTATTGGAAAATACTCATTACCAGAACAATTAATGCAATGCCAGATTTAAAAATACTGTTAACTTGCCAAAATAAAAGCAATACATTGTTTCTATAAGTATACAAGCAGATACATACAATTATGAATGGACTTAATCCAATACGTGCTAGAAGATGTCGAACAAGCATTCAGTCTAAGCGTTCTAGTGATCTGTACATACCATCATCATCAATCATAGGATGATATGGAGTCTTGGGCTCAGTAATTTTCTGCCTCACAGGTTTGTTTGCCTCAATTTCTTCAATGTTAGCCTCATCCCATGTTACACGGCCTCTGTTTTGCGATAACAAATGAAAGATTCATAATATTAAGAATATGTGAACAATCCTTATAAACAAAAAACTTTATAAATAAAAAGCTATGCAGGATTCCATTCCCCATTTTCTATAATCTAGAAAAGTTCACCATGTCTTAAAATTGCTAAAGGGTAAGACAACTTTGACGTGCATTTACTTTCTAAATCACTTCTGAAGAGATTTGAATGACAAAGTTTGGAGTCTTAGAAAGCCTAGGATATTTCCACAAGTATATCTGAGAGAACTGAGGAAACCTTCCATTAGAAGTCACTATACCAGGTTAGTTACAGCCTCTTCTATAGAGAACGGAAGAGGAAAAAGGGCTATTGCAACTAATTATAACTGTTACAGTGAATAAATCCAGAAAATAGCAGCAAAGTGGTAAACGAACAAGGAGCAAAGTAGAACAGTGTCAAGCTACTCCCTTGACGTTTGAGAGGCCAGGCCTCTCCCATGAACCAACCAAAAGCCTCCCCCGTTTCCTTAGGGCACACAACCCTAGATAACAGTCTAACCCTTGCCCTCATTGGGCCTTGGGCCAGCATCAGATCCTATTTCTGTACCTTTCTCCTTGGGTAGCTTAGCGGCCCTCTTTCTCTCATAAACACAGCCCGCTTGGATGTTGGGCTTATCAATATCATACAGCAATGCATTCATCCTAGGCTATTTGGTTGACATTTTGTACCAGCATTCACTCAGCTACAAATTCGTTAACAATCTAAAATGTTAGAAGCTGTCTCTGAAAGCACATCATCCTGCTATCAAAACCTCAATGAACTTACCAGACCATTGACCATAACATTGACAATACTTCTGACATCCAATATGATTTAACACCAACTGTATAACCAGGGAAATGACAGATAGTAACTCTCCCTAAAAGCAGCACACACAAATAAGCTTACCAACCAATCATATTTTATCATTGTTCTCACAATCTCTCCCATTATCAGCAGTACCAATTCTAGACCAAAAACTCAAAAGTTTATTTATAAACTTTATTTGACTTCAATAACTGATTTCATCCTCAGAAAATCACTGGAACAATAAAGCTGTAGTGTTCTCCAACTTACAGAATAACATGGTCCTGGCAAATTAAGGCTACTTAGGACCATTTGCTGACTCTTGGCTGACTAAGAAAAGTACAGGCCCATATAACAAACCACTAAGACCCAATAAATCATGTACCTTTACTGTTCTACATTTGCAATCTGTCTTTTAAGTTAAAATACAATGCAGTCTCTTTTTGCTTCAAACAGAAACAAATAGAAAGCAACAAAGTCAGCACTACAAAATTGTTTTCATATTCATGATATGCACGCTGTAAACATAAGTTTATGTATTTTCAAGAGTCAGTCTTCAACAAGAAAGTGTGAAAAAAATTCGCAAACCATTGGAAGGTACAAGTAATCTATCTAAAAGACTTATCAATTTATTGCTTAACAGTATACAACCTTAAATAATATGGACCTTTCTGATTTAAGTCATATTAAGCAGTTTCTTCAGAAAGAAATAAGCCAACTAATAAAAAACAGATTTCTTGCATTACTTCATTTTGCTAGATGGATGAACTCTTCAAACACGATGAGCATGCAAATCAATCTCCATGTGGCTAGGACAACTGAAAAAACACAAGAAGTTCAATCCTTAAGTTCTTAAACTTCAAAATCACATATTTGGTGGGGAAACAAAAGAGAAACGATGGGGATAAAAAGGCAGGTAAATGCTATAAATAAATTCAGAGACAATGTGAACATAGATTTGATAAAGAATCAAAAGGAAAACATAGAGGAAGCAACCATGGGAAAAGACAAAATCTGGTGCTGCTGTCTAATATAGGTTCTTAAACAGATATGCCACCATGATGATGATGCAAAAAGTTGGTTGATCACATCATTAGCAAGGCCATCATAATTATAAACAATGGCTAATGTTTACAAGTGAGTGTCTATGTGACTGCATCAACTAAACTAATTGTCAATGTGTGTGTGTGTAAGTAGCTAAGCCATATTGCTCAGAGAGTTGTGAATAGTATCACTTTCAATTTTAAGTTGGATGCAGAATCAGGGACGATAACTAATGTTTAAAATTCCAGCCATCATAATTATAAACGATGCTCCCTTTGGTATAAGCTTCCACAATTCTGTATGATCATATAACTAACTCAACGGTTTTTGTGGTCCGGTTTGAAATGAATCTGAACCTCCAAATCATGTTTGGATTGATCTAAATGTTTCTATAACAATAAACTGATAGTCTGAATCAATTCACACTCAAAACCTAATCCTCTGAGAAATGAACATTTCAATGAAAGCCATATTTTTTTGCCCCTGAATTGAAAAAGAAAAAGACATGACTCCACGAGCAAGAAGCAAATGCATAATAATGTTAAAAATGCAAAGTAATCAGATCCAGCTTCAAGACTTTTGAATCCAGCTCCAACAATAGCAAATAATGAACGGAGATCCATGAATCTAAAACATTGATTCTAGTGAATTTCAGAGGCAAAAAGTAAATATAATCGATCATTGACTTGTTGTGAGAGTCTTGCAAGGAAATGGAATATTAAATCAAACAAAAAATCCAGATCCCCGATCAAACTAGAACGATAATTTGAAAGACACGCTATCAAGTTCACAATATTGGAGTCTATCCCGTGGTCCAACCCACTTCGAAGGGAAAACCAACATTCAATTTTGCTGCAATTTCACCGAGGAACAAGAGGCGAGAAGGAATGGAGAATCCAAATTGGTCGCTAAGAAAAGAAAACGATTGGAAAAACTGAAATAGAATATTGCCAGGTTTAGGGGGAATTGGTCGAACTGCCCAATAAGCAGCAATTTCAAGCGTCAGAATTCTTCGCCGCGATTGAGAATTTTATAGTTCCAATACTGCCCTTCTGCTTCCGGGTTAAATATCCTCTTTTATTTCGACCATTGAAACGGGGAATTCACGCTGTCCCTCTGACCGTGGTGGTCCTAATGAAACTAGAAGCTGACCAAAAAAAAAAAAAAGTCCAAGAAGGCGAGAACCATTTATTTAAAAGATTCTTGAATTAGCTATGATATGAAGGCCAAAAATTATTGAAATGAGAATAAGTTTTAACAACTAATAATGAAAATGACCCTCGTTTTAACCCAAAAAAAAAAAATCAGAACCTGCCTAAAAGAAAAAGAACGGAAGAAAACTTTCACAATTCAAAAAGAATTTAAAAAAAATTTAACTTTAAATTCTTGTACTTTATTCAAATTTTGTTATGATATTCATATTTTTTTAAATGTGTGGGATTTAAATTATTAAAAAATAAAAATATAAGAACTTAAAATATTAAAAAAAATATGAGAACTCCAAGTTAGGTTTTTTCTAAAAAATTTCATTAGGTTTTTCTTAAAAAATTTTCTCTTTAGCTTGTGAGCATTGGTGGAAAGAAGCATAATAAAAGGAAGAAGATAATGAAGACATAGATGGAAAAAAATGCTAAAAAAGAAGAGAAAGAGAATAAAAGCAGTAGATGATGAGAAAAATAGAGAAGAGGGAAAAAAATCAAAACACAAGAAAAAAAAAAAAACTTTACGTACATGTGTGCGCATTGGCAATGTAAAATACTGGAAAAAAGTCCCATGGGGACATCCAATAAAATTGGAATAATACATAGGAGATTAGCATGGCCGCTGTGCAATAATGACGCCCACAAATTGAGAAAAAATATTGAAAAAAAAACATGCTAAAATATAAAATTTTTAACCCCTTTATTAAAAAATATAAAATATTTTTAATTAATTTTTACCTCTTAATAAAATAATTATTTATTTTTAAACTAACACTATCTTTTTAGATGTACCTCTATTTAATAAGATATTTTATCCTAAAATAAATATAAAATAATTTATTTAATAGGGGCATCTTTTTTAAAAAGGCAATAATTATGCCTTAAAATGATAAAAATGCATTATATTTTTAAACATCCAACCCCTCAAAAAAATGCTTTACATTTTTTAAAAGAGGAAGTATCAATTTCCCTGTTTTCTATTACTATTGTATTTGTATAATAATATAATGTTTAAAATTGATACATAAGTATCAAATGTTTAATTTATTCATATATATGTTTAGGCTAAAATATGAAATATTGCTTGATAGGTTATAAAGCTATTTGGATTGTGTTATTGAAGAGTCAGGCCCAATCTGAACAAAAAGGTTGGCCCGAGTTCAATAGAAGACCACGATAGGGTGAACATGCTGAAATCTCGCCAGTTGCAAACATTGTATCATTGGCACATAAAGACACGATCCCAAGTGATCGCGAAATCTACGAGAGTAGTATCATCATGCCCAAATATCTCGGTAAGAAGGGCTGGTTGCCAAAAATAGAGAATATTGAGTAAAAACTATGCCATGAGTTTTGCTAGATTCATGATTCTTTGGCAGAACATTCTAAGTTTTAAAGGAGAGTCTACTATCACTCTGACACTATAAATATAATACAAAAACACAAAAGAAAGATAGTCAACACTTAATAAAGACTCACATTCTGCACTCATGGCTTTTTAGTTTTAACAATTAGTGGTCGCGGGATCGGCGACAATGGCTGCTTAAGGTTCCTTCAAGGGCCTTTTAGATCCCCCAATCTCAATGGCTCCTGCTGAGCTAATGGAGGAACTACCTCTAGGGCCTTGGTAAAGGCAGTCTCCCAAACTTTATTGGCTATGTTCCCCACCACCTTGCGGGCTACCTTTCGAGCAATCTCTATAGGGTCCTTAGGGATTGCCTCAGGAATTGCAACAAAGGTAACCCTTTGGGAACCCACAATTGCCATAGGAATAGCAAATGTGACCACTTAAGGATCCGGTGTTAGCTCAAGTGTGGCAGTGGAAGTAACCACCTGAGGGTCTGGAGTTTGAGCTTTCACCCCTCTATGGTGTAGGGGACTCATCCTGCTGTCATCAAAGTCAACGGACAGGATAATGGTCCATCAATGCTTGTGCATGCGCTTTCCCTTTTAGGGAGTGGGTCCAGCCGAAGAAGGTATGGATGAAGGTTGATTAGTGAGAAAGGGTGTTGTCTTCTTTCTTCTCTTAAAGTCAGGTGAAGGAGATAGAGCCCGCTTCCTCTTATTAGGTCCATCTCCTTTGTCCGTGTGGCTTAGGGTGACTCTTCCTAGATCCATGCTTCTTTGGGAGACATGAGAGGTTGCATCATCCCTCTCAATCTCTTTAACTACAAACCTCAACGGAGGGGCCGTCTAGGTCTCCGAAGCAATAGGATTATCGATGTTTCCCCTCAAGAAATTCATCAGCATGTGCGATTGTGTCCAATTATAGCCTATAAAGATTCAAAACAGGTCAAACTATGTCAAAAAGTGAAAAGAGAAAACATAGAAAACAACACTTACTGGTATGGCTCTTTATTATGCGCTTAAAGTGCTGGGACCACCATTTGTTGAAATGAAGGCAAGCAACACGATCTACCAGTTCCACCTTGTACTGCTTTTAGGTAGTGTGTGGAATGGCTATGTGATTAATAGCCTCTCGATCCAGTAACTCTATGCTAATTTGGAGGACAACTCTCGAGGAATGCACTAACTCAACCTAAACTGGCCTGCTACCAGCTGGGGGTGATATGACTCCAAGTAAACCTTCCAGGATTTGGAGGAAAAGTCAGTGTATAGCATCCACTTTTTTCTGGGAGTAGTGGCTAAGAGGAAAGCCTCATCCCTTAACAATGAGGAAGGCTTGTTCTTTTGGTCCACCAAGTGCTTGTACTAGGTAGGAAGACGACGGTCTAAAATATTAAAGGGCTTTAAGGTCTTTCGCAAGGACCAGCTCTGCTCGCGAAGAACTCAAAGAAGTTCTTCGATTCATCCAGAAGATGACCACTTAATAAGCAAGTGAAAGGGTGGTTAGTGTGGGAGTTCTCATGGAAAGGTTCCCAACAGAGCAGAGGGAAGTATGCGATTGTCTATAACTTCAAGAACTAAACAGGCTCGTTGAAGTTGCTAAAAGGCTTCTTCATTAGGGACTTCCTCATGTCGTCATATAGATGATGTAACATCCTCAATTTTAAATCAAGATTAATTAAGTTCAACTAGACTAAATAAGTGTATTAGTGAGGTATATGGCCAGAGGGGCTTAACTTGGTGTAATTGTTGTGAATTTAGCCCTAGAAGTGGGTCCAGATCGATAGCAGGCTACCCGGACAAGGAAAGAGGAAGAAAAAGTAAAGGTTTCCTCTCTACGTCACATGCCATGGTGCGTGGTCAATCCGCCATGGTGCACAAAGCCAAATTTAAATCTAACGGGTTCCTCTGTTCTATGTACCGTGGTAGAGGGCCAAAATTCTAATATATTAACTTTGTATCTGCGTGAGAGAAAGAGAGAAGAGGAAGAGAGAAATAAAAACAAACGAGTAGTGTTAGGGCTTGGGAGAACTAAGTATTAGGACTATTTTAAAGGTCCTAAACATCAATGGTAAGCTTTCTTACTTAAATCTTCCTCTCTTCTTCCATTTTCTCGATGGTAAAGGTTATGGTTTGATTATTAATGGTATTTTTAGTTCATAGAAGCTATAAATCCAAACCTATTGATTTAAATAGAGTTAATGGGAGTAGATTGAGCTACATAAACTGGTATTAATGGTTTTATGATGATTGGTGGTTTGAAGATATTAAATATCTAAAATTCTCATAAATTTAGTGGTTGGGAATAATATGATTTCATTAATGACCATTTAAAAGCTCAATGTTATTAATGAGAGTTAACGAAAGCTAAGAAGTCTTAGGGGTAATTTTACATGAGTTAAGAATAAATCTTGAGTATTAAGAAATGATGAAGTGTTAGTGAAAAATAGCTCAAAAATGGATATTGATATTTTGCATAGTAAATGCTTGTAGAGTAACTCCCATTGGCACCATTCAAGCTTCTTGGAAGCTTTGGGAGTGAGTAATTGAGAGGGTGAAACTTTTGACCTCTTAAAGGTTTGAGATAATCGAAGAAATTCTATCTTATGCTTTTGTGTATTTATTAGTTTATGAATTTTATGATTCATCATTGAAATGTATAAATTAAAAAAAATGCAAGTGTGGCTTGATTTTTTAGAAAATCTACTAGATCAAATTGTGAATTTTATGCCTTGTGATGTAAAATTTCTTGGAGAACAATATCGGTGGATTTTTGTATTTTGTTATTGAGAGTTCAATGATTTTGAATTGAGAAGTAACATGAATCTTTATTTATGAGAAGTTCTATGATGTTTACAATAGTGGAGTTCAATTATTTTGAAAGTATGAAATACAATGATTGTGAAGTTGAAGTTCAATGACTTATTGAGTTTGAAGTTTCATGAAAATGTGTTTTAAGAAGTCTAATGATTTATGTAATGATAAGGTTCAATAAAAATTAATAATGTGAAGTTCTATGAACTGTATATATGTGAATTATGGCATGAATGTGCATTGCATGATCTTAAGAGGCAGGAGTTTGCTTAGAAAGAGGAGTAGATAATAAAATCCATGTGGTAGGGCCTATTTGTGAGATGGTTTGTTGAATTGATTATATCTATATTATCCCACTTAGTCAATGAGGGACTGTCCCACTAATTCAACGAGGGACTCGAACCTAGTTAACTATCCACCGGTTCAATAAGGAGGCTAGTTTAGGGTATATAACATCCCATAGTGTGAGAAATAGGGGAAACCATATTTTATAAATGAGTTGGGTGCGCCTTAACCGGGTAATCCCCTCACAAGTATTTAGGCTAGGGAAGTTAAGGAATATAGACTATCCCATTGAGTTATAACCCACAATTTCATGTTAGAGTAATAAAGAGGATATAAGGGAGGTGTGATCATACATATTATGAGTAAAAGAACCTTCTATCTATGTGGTGTCCCTAATGATGATATCATGAGTTGAGTCTTAATTTCTTTCAATGTATTTGTTAATAAATTGTGTGACCAACTCTCTTTATATAAAAAGCTCTAAAAAAAATTATTTCTCAAATAAATGCTATTATGTGAGTGGAATTGTGAATATTTATTTTCAAATGTTTTACATGGGTTAAAGTATTGACATTAACTATCACTTGCATTTAAACTAATTGATATGCATTATTATGGGTTAGTCAGACCTTGGTTACTAAGTAGTTATACTCATCCCATTATCTTTAATATTACAAGGAATAGTTCAAGAGGTGTGGATAAAGAAAACATCAAGAGGCTTAGGACCACGATCCTTTTGTAGTAGGCCTCTTTATTTTGTGTAAACTTATATGTATGACAATTTCAATTGTCAATTAGGAATTCTCATTTATTTTTTACTTGCATCATGTCAATTGTAAATTGTAAATTGTAAGTGTATTTCGGGCATTAGGGAGTGAGTTGATGAATATGTGTTATTGTGATAGGGCTAAAATACTAATGTAAGTAAGAATATACCATATTATAAGATGATTTAGGAGAATTTAATGAAAATCGTGGTAAACTCCCTTTTTTATGTTTTAGAAGTTAAGAGGTTGAGTAATAAAAATTTAATCTGAAAATATTTCATATGATATGGTGCATTGCAAGAGTCAATCTTAATGATTTGTATGTGGTCAAATTGATATCAATGGCTATTGGCCCTTGGTATTTGGTTTGGGCACTTGATTTTGTGAAAATTGTTGTAAAAGTATAAATTTTAAAAAGGGTGTTCAATTTTTGTTTTAAAAATAATTTGAGTCTA